TTCCACCCTGGAACGCTGGTTTCCCCCCGCGGCCGCCGGTGCTGGGCCTGAGGCTGGGTGACGGCCGGCGGGTGCAGCGGTCCCGGGTCGGTTTGCAGTTTTATGTCGCTTCTGGGCTCGGGAGCGGCTGCAAAAGCAAACCCGGGAAGCAGCCCCCTCGGCGGAGCCTTTGCACCGGCAGCGCAGCGTGGCTGCGAACGGTGCCTCACGGAGACGGCCCTTAGCGTGGTTAATCCCGCTTGAACTTCGTGCACGAAACTTCAGCGCGGAGCTGAGCTGCGTGCGGCGGAGAACCAGGGTTCGTTCACTCAGGGGTTCGCAAGGCGAGCGCGGGCGGTGCGGGAGGCAGGGGCTGGTTTCGGGCCCCTGTGTTAAGGCACAAACGCTCTGGGGTTTTGTTGGGCCGGGCTGTAGGCAGCGAGGCTCCGCTGAGACTCTTCCTGTGTTTGTAAGGCCGGGGATGATGGATGTGCTTCAGAGGTAAGGAACGAACAGGACATGCAGCGTTTTGAGAACTTCCTCCTGGAAATCTGAAAAATGTGGTTACTGAGACAGCTTCCAAGCATGGCTGTTAAATAAGAGGTGACCAGTGCTGCCAAGCCTGTACAAACCAGGCTTTGTGGCAGCGATGGGAGGCAAGGTGCTGGGATAACTACATAGATGAGGACATTCTTTTGCTCGTCTCTAGCATATACACGCTAATTTGGGGCAATGCAAGCCCGATTTTTTGCTTACACTGTGCATTTATACTAATGTAACTGCTGATGTCGTTACATGGGTTAAAGCTTCCCTGCTGTGCAAAGGGTGCTAGATTTTTAGAAAGATGGGGAGAAGCAGTTTGCTGAGTGATGGCTAAACACGTGAAACTTGTTGTTGGTACAGTGTCCATCTGCTTTGGCCCATGGGAGCTCATTCTCCTGCACCTGCAGGAGGTTAAATTTGTTCCACTTCTATAGAGCCTGCTTATTCCTGAAGTATAACTGGTAGCAGGTGCGTGCCATGATACGTGGTAAAGAAGTCTGTGTGGGTTGAGGGATTGTTGGTGAATGCAGCTGCCCCAAGGGAAATATTAATTTGAATTGGTTTGGTTTTTTTATGCTTTTAAAAGTTTTCATTCCACCTCTTTCCATCTTCAGAAGCAGATAAAGCCAAGCAAGCCATCTGAAATCCCATATCTTCTCACGTTAGAACAAATGGGTGCTGGAGGAGGTGAGCTGGTGCTTAGTGCCTGACCTGTGCCTTGAGCTTCCCCACGGGGAGTTAGGAGCAGTGAGAGAGGGACAAGCCTAGGGAAACACAGAGCAAGAAGAGATGGAATCTGCACCCAAGCCTTTGGATACACAGTCCCTTTGAAACCATCTCTGTCATAAAGAGGAGCTATTGTCCCCTGTCTCTGTAGCTGTGTATAAGGGCCTTATTTTCTGTAGGCCTTACTGCTCCAGTAAGTGAGCTGGAGCTACTTTCTTTTACAAAGAGATGCTGTGGGAGAATGTAGTCGTTACACAAAGCTGAGAGGAGAGGAAGAAAGAGACGGAAGTTACTTAAGCTGCTGTTTGCCCTGAGAGCAAACAGTTACAATCAGGCTCCTCCAAATCCCCGAGGAGCTGTATCTGCAATAGCTTTTGCAATAAGGGTGTTAGGGACACATCCTCCCTTTCTGGTTTTAAATGAAGGTTTGAGAGGTGGTTATTTGACATGGCAGCTTGTGATAAGAGAGGATGGGACCAGTGACCTCGGACTTCAGTGGCTTTCTTGGGCTTGGGATGGGGAGAAGAGTCCTTGGTTCACACCCAGACCAGGTTCAGGTTGGAGATGATCATGGGATGGCTGCTCAGGGGACTCTCTGGGATGATTATAGCACTTGGTCCGTTTCCCGGTTTGCCGGCATCATGTCACAGAAGCAGCTTTGTGTCGATCCTGGTGCACGTTCTTCTTGGCTGGTGGCTTTGGGTTAAACTTGAATGTAAATTCTTGGCTCCTCCTGGAGGCTTTTCCTTTTGATTCTGGCAAGGAGGATGGAGGCGCGTTCCCTCTGATGTGCACAGAGACCTGTAATTTGTGCTTTCAGTCTGCTGTCTCTTATGAAGTGCTCAGGAAGAGGATGTATTGTAGTCAACAGAGTAACTCTGTTTCCTGCAGCATTTTTCTTGTGAGGGGGAATTAAGCTGTGTTATTGCTCTTTTCCAGGGTTCCTCTCTGGCACTGATAGAGTTAATAGAAGTGGAGTCATTTCGATTCTGTGCTGCTTGCTGCTGTGTGTCTTGGAAAAGCCAAACGCTCTGGCAGGCCTTCGTGCTGTGTCCTGGAAAGCAGGCTCCAGCCCTTGGGGTGTGCTCAGTGAAGCTACATTATGGTGGGGGCTTTGACGAAGAGCCCTCCTGTTTGCCCGAGGAGTGTGTGTGCCACATGCAGTGTCTCTGCTGCTGCTGCTGAGAGGGTGATCTGTCCCTGCCGGGGTGGGACAGCTTTGCAGAAGTGCTAGCGGGCTACTGTGCTGCTGCCTGACCCTGCGGAAGCTGCTGTGTACAGGGATGGCAGAAAGGGATGCTCCATGCAGCTTTCTGGGGTTGCTGCATTCCAGCCAGCCTAAAGGTCTCAAGCAGTGTTGAAACCCAGTATGCAAGGGATTGTGTGTGCAGTGGACACCCTATTCATGCAGAATAGGAAGCAGTCCCTGCCCTGAACAGCTAACCACTCAAAAGCAAGAACAGATTCAGGCAAAATGCAAACCCAGAAGTGTGCCAAGCAGTAGGCTTGGCAGCGTCACTCCATTATCTTCTACTGTTGGACTGAGATGCTTGGCTTGAAGTGCTGACGCACATATGTAATTTGCCCCTTCTTCAACTCTGTGCTCATCTCTCTGGGTGTTTCTTCTTAGTTCTGCTCTCTCGTCAATCTTGACTACCTAAATGTAGAGAATTACTGCTGAGTAATACCTGCTTCTTGCTCCGCAGAGTGCAAAGTGTAATGTCTGCAGTTTCTTCAGCTCCTCTTCATGTGGAGAGTAAGAGCCTGGCCCCAGAAAACACAGTGTTTGGTGTTGCAGTGCAAAGCCACGTGTTAAGCTGCAGCTACACAGAATTTCTGGCTCTCCCTACTCCCAAAGTGTAAATAAATACACCAGGGTGGAAAAACCCTAAACCTTCAGTTCTGTGTTTTATGTCTTTTTGGACAAGCTGAGCCAATACTTTAATATGTAACCGTATCTGGTGTTGATCCTGTTTGTTACTAAATTCTGATCTAATGCTTTTGGTTTAGTGTTTGAAACCAGGACTTTATTATAAAGTCTGGCATCCCTGGGCAGTAAGCACAGCCGTGCAGATGGCTCCTAAGACAAGTCATTCAGTGCAAGGCTGCTGTCAGCTTCAAAGGTGCTGAGCATGTTTCCCCCCCCCGGGAATGTCACAGCTCAGCACTTCTGCATATCTGGCCTCTCGCATCCCTGTACTGGGTGGGGTTGGTGGCTTGTGAACTGGCTGGGGAGCAGCCTCTGTGTTTCCAGAGGAAGAGATCCCCTGTTTTCATTCTGAAAAGCTTTTCAGGGTAGCTTGCCCCAAAGGGGTTTTGTTTTCGGAGCTGGTGTTCATAGGGTTTGTTCTGAAGTTATTGAAGGAATGGGGATGTCTGCAGAAAGGGTGGCTCTGTTTTCTATCTGTAGGTGCTGTTCTGGGTTTATAATCAAGGGCTGGACTGTGCTTGGAGGGGAGGAGGAGATTGGGGTGGCTACTTTTTGCTTGTCTCTTCATGTTAAACCTTGCAGAAAAAGGCTGTAAAACAGCAAAATGGGGTTTCTCTCTCAAAATACCAGATAGCTGCTCCTCACTTTATTAGGTTTTTCTTCCTTGGCTTAGGCACTGGCTCCTTGATCACTTGGGGAGAGAGCAAGGCTGGTTTGCCAGCCTGCCTCTGTGAGGAGCCTCGGACCAGAAAACATGCAGCAGTGTGGGGAGATGGATCTCTCTTGAGCTTGCTGGTGGAAAGGGGCTGGGAGTCAGCAGGAAAGCAGGTGGCAGTGAAAAGGTGGGACTGGTTGAAGGAAAAAAACCCAAACCTGGTACACCCTCCAGAAAAGATCTGCGCTGCTTTTTTAACAGTGATTTTTCACCTGTCTTTGATCAAGAGCTGTTAGGGATGAACGTGATGGAAATACAAATTATATTCAACCAGGAAAAGAGGTCCTGACTCAAGAGAGTCCGGATGTGATTAACCAGAACATCCTTAATCTCAGAAATCATTCAGTTAAAAGTAATCATTCCTTTAGTTTTTTATTGATGTGTGGCTCTCATCGGGGCTGTGACCCTTTGGGGTTTTTGTAGAAAAACTATTTGTGTAATCTCTGTTCTTGACACATGAAGTAGCTGCCAAAAGAGGTCGTGGAGGTGACATCTATTGGGTACTATCACAACTTGGATAAGATGGTGCGTTCAGGTCAGTGATGTTTTCAGCAAGGTCTTGCTTTAGCCACTGAGGCAACACCATCTTCAGCTGTATATTTATGACTCCAAGAAGGTCTTCATTTTCAGCGCGGTGGTACAGAGGATCTTCATGGGGAGATGGCACCACAGTGTGATACTATAAGCTGATGGGTTGAACCCTCTTTTTCTGTTGTGTGTTAGATGTGTTTAAAAATCAAGGAGGTCTGAAACGTAGTTGGCTCTGTATACTTTGTGTATATAATTGTATTCTTTTAATACTCTTAAACTTCCCTCTGTAAACTCTTGGCCTGAAATATTGATATTTATTTTTTAAAAGAAACCAGAGCTTCTCTTGAAATCACATGACTCTAGAAGCTTGAGATTGATGAAAAAAAACATGATTGCTGTGGAATCTGGTAAAATCGCAACGTATTATACCTCCTTTTAGCCAGTCGCACTCTTTTCTTTGGGGTCTCTATGGGTACCTCAGACTCACACAGCTCTATCCACACCAGAACAGATGGTCAGCCCTGCCATGAGTCTTGATTACTCAAGGTCATTCTCTTTAAACCAGAGTGATTAAGGGTTCAACTAACTCTTTTTTTTCTGGTACCTTTCCAGGCTACTGGTCTGCAGCACCATGCTGGATCCCAAGCCTCACTCTGCAAGCCAGAGGTGAATCCAGGTGAAAGCCAGCTATCACAGTAGGTGTCAGGATGACCAAAGCACGGCTCCTCCGTCTCTCTGTGGTGCTGGTCTCCATCTTCATGATCCTCCTGATAATTGTGTACTGGGACAACGTGGGAACGGCTCACTTCTACCTGCATACGTCCTTCTCCAGGCCTCATTCCCCAGGAGGCATCCCTGGTATCGTGGCAGGTGAGGACTGGGAAGCCTTGCCAGATGTGGATGAGTTTTTGGCAAAGCTGCTTAGTTCAAGCCTGAAACAGAATAGCTCTATCCCCCGAAAGACAGAGCATCTACTTGTCCAGGGCTCCAGCAAGCCTGTGGTGAGCAATTTAGAGGAGAACGTGCGGGGCTATGACTGGTCTACACACAATGACAGAAAGAGCTTGGACCAAGAGAAACTGCAGATAGAGAGGCAGAGAACGTTGCGAGAGTTTTGTGCCAATTCCAGCTTCACTTTCCCCACCAAGGAGCGCTCCTTTGATGATATCCCAAACTACGAGCTCAACCACCTGATCGTGGATGACCGCCACGGCATCATCTACTGTTATGTGCCCAAGGTGGCCTGCACCAACTGGAAACGGGTGATGATTGTGCTAAGTGAGAGCCTGCTGGACCAGGGGGTGCCCTACCGGAACCCTTTGGATATCCCCCGGGAACACGTCCACAACACCAGCACCCACTTGACGTTCAACAAATTCTGGCGTCGTTATGGGAAGTTCTCCCGGCACCTCATGAAGATCAAACTGAAGAAATACACAAAGTTCCTCTTTGTACGAGACCCTTTTGTCCGCCTCATCTCTGCCTTTCGCAGCAAATTTGAGCTGGAGAATGAGGAGTTCTACCGGCGGTTTGCCATCCCCATGCTAAAGCTGTACTCCAACCATACCAACCTTCCCACCTCCGTTAGTGAGGCCTTCGGGGCAGGCCTCAAAGTATCCTTTTCTGACTTCATCCAGTACTTACTGGATCCCAGGACAGAGAAGATGGTCCCCTTCAATGAGCACTGGAGGCAGATTTACCGTCTGTGCCACCCGTGCCAGATAGACTATGATTTCATTGGGAAGCTGGAGACGCTGGATGAGGATGCTGCTTATCTATTGCAGCTCCTCAAAGTGGACAGGCTGCTTCGTTTCCCCCCCAGCTACCGGAACAGGACTGCCAGCAGCTGGGAAGATAACTGGTTTGCCAAAATCCCACTGGCTTGGAGGCAGCAGCTCTACAAGCTTTATGAAGCAGATTTTGTACTCTTTGGCTACCCCAAGCCAGAAAACTTGCTTAAAGACTAAAAGTGATTGGGTGGTGGGTGTGGGAGGGAACATCTGAAATACCAAAAATGTTAAAAGCCTCCTCATTTTTGCTCTTAACTCCTTTCCCCATACAAGTTGGTACAATGGAATATATTTTTTCTACCGCTTCCCCTTCTGTTTTTGCAATAATGCCAGAGTCCAGGGTATTCCAGCCAGCTGTGCATATGCAAAAAATGCCAGGATTTTTTGTTACCATTTGTTTTCTGTTTTTTAAAATGTCCCCATGTTTTGCAGTGGGCCGCTGCCCTTGGTCACTCTGCCAGCTGTGTCCTTCAGTAGCTTTTTATTAATACTTTTTAAAAATTAATATATTTAAGATATTTAATACGAAGTGTGTGTCGTGGCAAAGGAAGGGAAGGAATAAAAAAAAAAAAAGTAAAATTGAAACTCAAGAAATTACGCACCTGCCTCTGTGTGTTGTCTCAGGGCTGCTGTTTTGGAGGTCTGAGGTTTGCAGAGCACTTGGATCTCTTTGGGAGCTGGGTTTCAGTGCTGCTGCCTTCACTGGCCACGTCTGCTGGTGGTCAGGGCAGTTGGATGGGTCAGTGCCTGCCTGCCAAACAGCCCTGGAAAAATACTAGTGCTCCAGTGACGCGTGCTGCCAGGGTTGCAGGAAGGAAGTGGTGGTTGGGAGCAGTGACGCCAAGCCCCGCGCGGTGTTCCGGGACAGGCAGGTGACCATTGCAGTACCTCTGCACTGCTTCACCTTTCAGCAAAGTGGTGGTGGAACTCTGCTTTCCAAAAAGCTGCAGTTTCTTGGCCCCTGTTTATCTTGCTAGTGTGGAGCATCTTTCACATCCCGTTGCAAAACAATGCCTGAAGTTCTTGGGGGTTGTGGCCAACCTGGATGGGCAGAGCGTGCTCTCGGATGGACGTGCTGTCCAGAAGTTGGCATCCAGGCTTCACACAGCAGTAGCTGAGGCAGAAAGGCGGGTCACTGATTCGCAGCCGGCTGTGGCGTGCTGCTCCATGGCCTGGTCACTGCTGCGTACAGTGCAGGTCCCTTGGGAGCTGCTGTGTCCTCATTCCTGTGCGTGCTTTAAGGGGACGTGGCAGGGATGCAGATGCTTATCTCTGGAAGCAGATCTGAAAGGTTTCTTTCAGTCAGCAGGCGTCAAGGTGAACTCAAAGTTTGTTTGTTTTCAGAGTGCCAGCTACTGCTTGTGATGCTGCATCCTCATCCGCTGCCTTTCTGTTTATACCAAATGACTGATGCAGATTTAATCATCTGCCTTGCTGAGACCTGCTGCAGGAGGGATGGTTGCCCACTGTGCTGGGAGCCTGTGGGCTGCTTCCCAAAGGAAATTAATGCTTTAGAGAGACTTTTTGTGTCTCATCAGCTGAATCTGCTTCTCTTATTCTCTCTGAATAGCTCTGCAAAAACTGTCTGCTTTGCAGATTGAGCTTGCAACTCTGAAAGAGCTGAAATGCTTAATTATATTTCCCTGGGCTGTGGATGGTATCAGCGATTAAGGTTCAGGGTCAGGCCTTGGGAGGCAGCCTTATGTTTTGGGCAGACTTCTTTACATTGGCCTTTTACTCAGTTTCTCTCCAAGGCCATCAGCAGACGTGACTTCTCTCCTCTCTCCTTGCTTTCCCTATCTCTGTACACATACGTCTTCTTGGCATTGCATGCTCTTCCTAGCGAATGTACCGTGAAGCTTTTTAACCTATAAATGAAAGGTAATTGCTAGTAGTTATGCTCAAAACAAAGGATTTGTTTCTCATTGTATTCATGCCACTCTCCTGTAATTTCTGCAGAGATATTTGCAGTTTAAATGAGCCCGAGGCCATGATCAAGGTCTTGGTGCTTAGCTCTTCACAGCTTGAGGGAAAAAGGAAGTGTTTGTTTCTGAGTCATTATATAAACTAATAATAGAAAAGTGTTGATCTATTCAATTTTTTTCCAGTTACCAGCTAATTGCTGCAAAACAGAAAGATGTTGAGAATCTCATCTCCTGTAATGAGTAATCCCAGGAGTCTCTTGGTTCCTGCTACATTTACATTTCTTCAGGGTGGGTTTGTGTCGCCCTTTAGAGATACAGCATGGATGTTTTTGTCTCTTGTCTTTACAAAGCGTTTATTTATTTTCCCTCTTTTAATTTAAATTTAATTGATGTTTAGTATGTATAGACGTGGGTGGCTGGGACTGTAGTGCCGATGCTGTGCAAACTTCCTTCCAGCTGCTTTTCCTGCACCTCCTGATCTGGTTCTGCCTCTTCCTGCCCTTCCAACCTGTGCCTGGCCAGCGTATCCCATGGTGTCTGCCTCCTCAGCCGCAGTTGTCCTGTGATTCACAGCCATGACTTGTCCCAGGCAAGAGCCCAGCAGCCTCTTTTCAAGGTCACCAGCTGCCAGTCAGTCACCTGGGGCGGAGGAGGAACAGGTTGCAGAGTGTTACCATCATTTTTGGCAGCAAGGTCTTGGTTGTGTGACTGACAGAGAAGGTGCAAAATGGCTGCAAATCCTGCACAACAGCTGCTCCATGTGATGTGAGAGTGTGTCCTCTGCTTAGGACTGCCTTGAAATTTAACTGTAATAGAAGAAAAAGCCCTCCCTTCCCTTGCGGACATCGGTTAGAGGGGAGAGACTTTGAAAGCTCTGATTTCTCTCTTCTCTCTCCATCCAAAGCTGCATAAAGGGGGTAAATTCCAGTGTTATGTGCTAATACCACCCTGAATCACACTAGGGTCCAAAACACCCCGTGTGCAAGGTTCAGCAGGCTGCCTGCATCCCGAGGGCTTCATCAGCCTCCCGAAGAGCTGCAGTCAGGAGAACGTATGGATGGCATGAAGCCATTAGGGTTCTGTCTTTTGTACTTTGCCACTCACCCCGTGAAGTCCAGCCTTTGCTGACATATGAGATGTTTTAATATTTGTAGGCACATACCCAACCAGCACACTGGGTGTCATTGGCATTCTCCTCATTTCCCATTGCCACACTTCAAAGCACTTGCTGGGAGGAGCAGTAAAGCTCTGATGGAGAGGGCTCACTTTGCAGTGGATAGCTTCTGGGTTCCAAATAGCTTGTTCCTTGCTGGCCTTTTCTTTTGAAGCCTTCCTTCCCCACTGTTCCACCACTGTGAATGTATTGTTAAGAAGTCAAAGGGGATCCAGGCTGCGCTGAGCTTTGTGGTAAGACCACTGGGTTGCCAGAACTGAGATGTAGCCTCTGGCTTTGGGAATGTGCATTTTTTGTGGGTTTCTTGCTCTGTTCTGATGATGTAAAAGTGAGGGTGGGGGGGGAAGAAGGACAAAGAGTTCAACCAGCTATGCTTCCTTCCCCCCTGGTTTCCTAAAGGAGCTGGAATTTGGTATTTGACAAATAATGGCAGAATGATTGGAAAGGGCAGGCAGTATGCATCCGTGCTGGCTGGAAGTCAGAAGAGGGCTAAAAATCCTGAAATTTAGATGGTTACAATAGTGGTACTGATTTTATAAGGGGTGGAAAAATGCTTTGAAGCAGCCTATTTTTGTCTGAATAAACCTGACTCTGTCATTTCTTGCTCAGCCTGCAAAGTTACATCCTGTTCCCCTCCTGGCTTGCTGTTCCCTGGGGTTGACCACTTGGCCAAAGTCAGCACGAAGTCTCTAACCAGGCAGAACCGATGCGCAGATGCAAAAATAACCTGGGATTTGACCAAGATGTTTCCAACCGAGTAGAACTGAGACCATCTTTAGTGCTCACTCAGTGTTGCAGCCAAAGTCTTTACACAACCATTGAACAGATTCAGTCTCTTGCTGTTTGATGCCACATTCACTGCTACAGTGGGATGCGTGTGACCTGGCCCTGCAGCCCCTGCGTCCTCCAGGGAAGGCCTGACAGGCCTCAGAGCTCTTTGCTTTTTGAGCAGTGACATGGCTTTGCCAGGGTACAGAGCGTTCTTAATACATGGGTACCTTTGCATCTCAGTAGTTTTTGCCCTCAGCCTTAAAATCACTTGTGGTTTAGGGGGACAAAATTGTAGACTCTACCCAGGGATAACAAAAATTTGCCATGGGATAACGTGTGAGATGAAGTGCTTTGGCTGTGTGTTTTGCATCCCTCAAGGTGGCACTGGGAGGATGGAGGGCAGGGGATGAATGGCAGCATTGAAAGGGTGGCGAAGAAAAGCTAGTTTGTTCCTTCTTATGTAAGCGGGACCTTCGCAGCAGCCTGGGAAAGCCGGTGACTTGGCAGGGTGCTGCGTGGCTGTGGTGCAAAACGGTGCCAGGGAGGGTGCGGGGTGTGGCGACTTGCAAGCAAGTGGTGTTGCTTGAATTTAAGGGCTTGCCCATGTTGGTCTTGCTTGTAAACCCTCTAGTCAGGGGCAGGAGGGGGAAAAAGTCAAAAAAAAAAAAGCAGGATTTAATAAAATCATTGATATGTGGCTGTTTGGGGAAGAGATGGGGAGGATGGATGGTGCTGGGTCTGGAGCAGGCATAATGTAGCTCTTCTGCTCTGCTCTCTCCTTGATTAGATCATATCGGGGATCTCGCTTGGACTGTGGAGGGTGAGGTTTATTCTTGCAGGAGCTGGGTAGCATTTGGTCTGGGTGCTGCGGGGGAGCTGGGTGCCAGGATGGGAGCGGTGCTGGGCAGGGCTGGCCGAGCCTCTCGCTGCAGTCGCTGTGTCTGCACGGCACGGTGGGAGCCGGGGCCGTGCAGCCCTCCGCAGTGGCCCATCTGAAACCCATTTTCTGTTCTGGGATCTGACAAACGCTGCTGCTGCTCCCCCCAGCCTGGCTCCCGAAGCAGCAGGGGTCCGTCTCCTACACCCGCTGCCGGTGGCAATTCTCATCGCTGGTGCCCTGTGGAATGATTGAGCAAAGCACGACCAGAACCTGCACTCAAGCGGTTGCACTCAGCAGCTTTTACTTGTGCAACCTGCGTTGCAGGTAGCGCCCAGCCTTTGGGTCACAAAGGGCTGGAGTATGGGGGATGCAAATACATTAAAAAGTAAGTGACACCCCCTCCTCTTCTGTGCTGGCTCACTGCTGGAGATGGGAATCGGGCCCTGCTGTCTTTCCCTGCAGGACATGAAGCTCCTTTCCCTTTGTCCCTTCCCAGTGTCCCGCTATGTGCAGCATCACCAGTGTCCCCTCAGGCATCCCCATGTGCCGTGTTGCCTTCCCGAGGGGATGGCTGCAGCAGCCTGATGTCCCCACATCCCCACTTCGTCTTTGCTTTTTGTGGTTTTGCCTTGTTCAGGGATGGCTTAAAATTAAAAAAAAAAAAAAAAAAAAAAAAAAAATTGTGTAGCAGCTGGTTCCTGTCAGGAGAAATGAGAGATCAGCAGCTTGACCCTTGATGAGGAGGGAGTGAAATTTCTGTGCCAAAACCCTCTGGCTGTGGATTTGGGCACCCTGAGCCACACCCCCTTGAACTTGAGCCTTTCTTACTCTTTAATGCTCAGAAAACCCAGCTGCCTCCCCGAAGATGGTGTTTCCTTGCCTTGGGAGGCTTTGGGTTGCAGCCTCAGCTTTTCTTTTGTTTTGGCCTGGGGGGCAGCACCTGCCAGCAGTGGGGAGGGGGCGATGCATCTGTTTACCAGCATTGGGGTGCAAGGGTTTAGGCTCTCACCATTGACAGTCCAACAGATGTGGTGAATTTAGGAACAAACCTGACACTTGAGGCCCTGGAGGCCCCTTGAGAAAGCTGTTGTGATACTCAGTGGAAAGCAATCACCTTTCTGCAGGATTTTTTTGTTTCTTCGTGAACTTTCCCTGAGACTGGAAAATTAATTGCTGCCACAGAATACCAAAGGCTCTGGAAAGCCTCACGGAAGAAGGTGATTTAAACAAATAACCTATAGGTGCTAATGAAGAATGGTGCAGTAATTTTAGCAGACTGCCCCAGAGGGGAAGCAGGGCTCTTCAGCAGCCTTTGCTCTCCATTTATACCTTGAGACTATTGCTTTTTATTTCCTTGGCTTTTCAGGTGATGGTGTCCTTGCCATCTGGACCGTGAGGTTTGGACATTGCTAGTAGGGCCCATTGCGTTTGGAGAGAGACGGTGACCCCCAGGCTGTGGTGGAATGCGAAGCAGCAGGAGTTTCCCTTGCAGGGGCTGATGTGAATACAGGTGTTATAAACCCAGGCACTCATGCAGTGGACCATGTTCTCCTCCTTAAACCACAAAGCAGAGCTGAGGAGCATGTTTTTAATTAGCAGTGCTGCTAATTGTTTGCTGTAAGCCCTTCAGTGAGTTACTCAAACTGTCTTCTGTTTGTCCTTCATAAAGGGGGAGTAAGGGATACCTGGTTTTTGGAGGGCTCCTGGGCACAAGCTGTGTCCACGGGAGGTTTGGAGATCTCTGGGAGGAGCAGTGCCTTGGGTGGGAGTGTTGAAAGACAGGGCTGCAGTATTCAGCAACGAAACCCCTGCAAAACTTCCTCAGTTCAGATATTTCTTACCCACAGGGTGAGTCTGGAAGCTGTTGGCATGAAAACTGTGTCTACTGATTCAAGAAGTGCATACCTTTTGGAGAGTTCAAGGGCTTGTACGGCTCCATGGGTAAGACTCTACTATGGAAATGCACAGAGGTCACGACTTCCCATCCTGCTCTGTTTCCTTGCTGGCTTTCAGGCAGCTCGGGATGCAAAGGAGGTGCAGAGCCTACCATCCCTCTGAATAAAATGTCTTTATCTTGGAAAATGCTGGGCATCCTTGAGCAGAGGGTGCTCAGCCAGCTAAGATGGCAGTGAGCATTAGCAGGGCTGTTCCTTTTCGCCTAATGAAGGCGTTTGTAATTCTGTCTCAGGTTTTCATCCTCAGACTGTGCCAAATCCGAGTGTCAGACTGTATCAGTATCAAAATACTCCCAGTCCTGCCCAAACCATGCGTTAAACAAACGAGGGAGCCTTTTCCTGACCCACCAGGCAGTGCCTTCACAAATTCCATGTTTTATCCCCCAGGCAGATGGATCACACGCAGCTTTGGCAAAGCCACATTTTGTGGAAGAGAAGCTGCAGTTTCAGTGTTTATTTCTCTGTCACTGCAGGAATTCAAAATGGATGGAAGAAAATGCCATCGGAATTGACTTTTGTTTTGTTTGGACCCTGGACAGGTCTCTGTGGAAAACATGGGAGGAGTGCAGGGGACAGAGAAGAGCCAAGATGATGTGTCAAAAAGACAGCGGCAGCCAAAAGAGTGGTCAGCAGGGAGTGGAACAGAGCTGGGGATGTGTTTCTAAAGGACAAAAAGGGTGGGGGGAGTTGAGGGCATCTACAAACAAAATGGGGATGCTACAGAGTGGGTAAATGCTGAGATGAGCAAGAGGGGCTGCTGAGAAACCAAGTGCCATCTGCTGCAGCATGGAGACCTGCCCTGTTTGCTTTTCCAGGGGTTGGAGCAGGGGCCAAAGTAGAGGTGGAAAGAAATAATTTAATAATTAAGTGATGAAAGCTATCAGAATACAGTGGGCAAAATCCAAGGGGTTCTGATAAATGATGTAGGGTCAGATTATCTGATTATCCATTCATTACCTGATTATCTGTTCATCTTCATGAGTGGTGGTGGGACCTGTAGGCTTGAACCAAACAAATGGTCATTTAGAGGCAGACTAAAAATAGCAGTGGGCTAAGGTGCTCCTTGCCTGTGCTGGGAGAAGAAGGCTTGCAGCTTCACCAGCTGTTGGGCTCTGCGAGCAGGGCAATGTCCAGAGGATGGAAGTGCAGGAGAGATGGTGCCAGTGACCTTTCACATGCTATTGGGCACCTCTATCTGTTTCCAGTTTTTCTCTCTCTCAACCTTTGCATGCCTTATTGATTTCAGCCTCTGTATATTTTGGCTCTTGGGTAAATCAGAAGTATTTGTCACCTAGAATGATCATGCTGAGAGTATAAAGCTTTTTACAAAGCCTTTGGTGACCTTTAGCTAATGGGAAATCAATGAACTGAGTGTATATAAGCATTGCCTGAGTGCTGGGTAATGCTGTGCACCGTGGGGACCCACCTTGGCATAACATGGCTACCCAATAGTAGTCTGGGCATGCAGGTCTTCTGGATAAAGGTTCTTGCATCAGGTCAGGGTGGCATAGACTTGTATTTCTTGATTATCTTTACTTGTGTCATATATTGTGTGAATGTACATGTGTGTAAAGTTGTGTGTCAGAAACAGTTTGCAACCCTGGGCAGGTGAACACATCCGAAATGTTTAAACAAACATGTACATTTGTTAAACAAGTAATGATGGTCATTCCTCCCTCTTAACACAGTTTCATTCTTTAGTTCTCCTAAGCAAGCCCCTGTTGTGTCCCAGGGCCGCTTGTGCTGTGCAACCACCAGACAGAAGTGGGGCAGTCAGGCTCTGACAGCGGCTGTGGACATCCCTTGGGCTGTACATCCCTGAGCCTGATTGCTTTTTTCCTCTTCTAGCTACCATTAGCAGCCAAAGAGTGAACTTGGCACATGCAGAAAGCGGCCAGTTTTCACGGTGTGGATCCAGGGAT